GAGTCCAAGGCCTCCGAACTTCCTGACCCAGCCCCTAACTGGATGGCGGTTTGTGCTGGGCGTAAGCGCGCGCAAACCGCATGCCACGAGGGCACCGCACAAAACGCGCGCGCACACACGCACGCACAAACACACACACACACGCACACACACACACACACACACGCACACACACACACACACACACACACGCACACACACGCACACAGACACAGACACAGATACAGACACAGACACAGACTCAGACACAGACACACACACAGACACACACGCACGCACGCACGCACGCACAAACACACACAAGCACACACACACATACACGCACACGCACGCACGCACAAACACACACACAAACACACACACACAGATACACACGCACACTCGCTCGCACGCACGCGCGCACGCACACGCACGCGCACGCGCACGCGCACGCGCACGCGCACGCGCAAGCGCACGCGCACGCACACGCACACGCGCACTCGCACGCACGCACACGCGCACACACGCACACACGCACACACGCACGCACAAACACACATACACAATCACGCGCAAACACTACCTGAACCAGTCCCAGTAACTGTCGTAGCGCCTATTCCCGCCGCCATGGAGGTACTCATAGCGTTGCCGAGACAGGCCAGCTCACCTCGAATCGGTGCCGACCTGGCCTCCGTAAAGGTCTGCACATGACCTCGCGGAGGATACTCCGGGTGGGATGTTAATCGAGGCGTGGGCGGCTAACGTTCCGACGGAGCTTGCCCATCACCCCCCCTCCTCCTCCTCCTCCTCGACCTTCTCCTCCTCCTCCTCCTCCTCCTCCTCCCCCTCCTCCTCCTCCACGTCCTCACCCTCCTCCTTCTCCTCCTCCTCCTCCTCCTCCTTCTCCTCCTCCTCCTCATCATCATCATCCTCCAACCCCCCCTCCAACCGTTCCGACAGCACGTGCCCACTCCCCCCAGCGGATCCAAAGGGGGGCGATCATTGCCCAATCCAGAGTACACGGAGCGCACCTGTCAAAAGTAAACGAACCAATGGTCCAGGCGCTCCATGAGCGTGCGTGTCAATGCTTCATGACCTTTGGCCATGCCATCCGCGCCACCCTCCACCCTGCACGTCTGGGGCACCGATCTTGGCAATGCACCGCCAAGAACTCGCCGACATCTGCGGCACTCATGTTGGTTCATGTGTGGCTCCCGTTTCTCCTCGCCCTTCTCCTCCAGGACTGCGGCAGTGCCATCGCCAGCGCCCGAATCCTTCGGGTTGAAGGGGGCACCAACGGAATAGGGGGCGCCGAGTTGCCAGCGTCCGATGCCTCCTGATTGGAGGCACCGCTGGCGATGCTGTGGACGAAGCCCGTCGCGATCGCCGACGCTGCATGACGGGAGGAGTAGAAGGCAGAAATCCGACCACCATTATATCACCCCGACAGGCGAAGCCGTTTAGTAAACGCACCCAACGAAGGAATCGTACAGGACAGGGCTGCTTAGTAGACGCCCAGGGCTGCTCAATAATCCCCAATTATCAGGTCTGGGTGGTTCTCCCCCCCTTGAAGGAGGGAAGCAGAGGGATTGAGGAGCGGGAGGGGGACGAGACGAGGCGGGGGGTGGCGCCTCTTGCTGGTCTCCGCGATGGACGCGCCCTCGGCCTTGTGGGCCGCCACGTAGGCCTCCTGCAGGATATACACCGCCTGGCGCCGAGGTGGGGAGGTACGGCCGCGGCTGGAGCATGAGCAGGAACCCCTCTCACCGGGTCTGGTGACTTCTTCTCGGATTTGGCCTCAAGTGGCCCTCGCCGGCCCCGGGACCGTCAGGCGACTCAGGACGCAAGACCATCCCTGGGGAAATAGCCGTGACTCAGGACGAAGCCAGGACAGGGGCGAAATTGGACACGGATATATCGGGGATCTTTGAAATCTAGCGATTTGAGAAGACGTATCGGGCGACGCGGCCTTCTCGTAGCATTCCGAGATTTCCAAAACGCTCTGCAAACATTCATCCCAATCCCAGGCTTCTGTGGCAACTCGTGGGAGCCTCCAATACCATGTTGTTAGCTCGTACAAGCCGATGCTAGTTAACGCTAGCTGACGCTAAATCGGCGTTGGTACAATATGAAAGCCATGCGCCAACCCTTGGCACGGCGCTTGGGCACCACTGTCGCCACTGAGCCTGGTTTCCGGTCAGGACGCGCGGGCGGAAGAATGCGCAAGTGCTACCCCTGCGAGCGATCGAAGGGCGCGGGAAGCTCCGTCCGACAAGATCGCAATGCGCGGGGCAAGCTCCGTCCCGCACATCGCTCTTCGTGGGGCAGCTCCGTCCCATGAGTTCTTCGACTCGAACATGATGCGACACACCAAATCAAAGCACCCGACTGACGACAGTGAGGTAGGAGGAGGAGGAGGAGGCGTGACGTCGACGAAGATAAGGAGGAACATGGACTGCAATTATTGAGCTCAATTGCAATCGTCCGTACACGCAGTGGGCCAAACTTTACTTGGGGTCGCCGTGTCTCCAGGCCAAATCCCACTGCTGTGGGGCATTTGAATCCAAGGCCCACCTACATACACTGCTGGATGTACGTGCTTGATTGACTGTAACGACAGATCAAGTAGGACGCCAGCGTTGTTGATTTTCAGCACTGCGGCCTTATCCCTATTCAAATCGAGCCCGTACTGCTTGTTCACGTGAATGATGAGATCCAAGAGAAGCTGACTTCCCACGAAACTTGCACTTACGGGCATGGTATCGTCCGCGTGCAGCGCGTCGTTACAAGCAACGTACCCTGAATCCACAGAATTCATGTCCAGCTCGTTGAAGCGTTTGTCTATACCGAAGAACATCACCGTTTGAACATTGGCAAATCGATGTGGAGATACCTGCCACTGTTGAACCATTGCAGCACCGCGAAAAATCACAACCGAAGCCCTTGACCTAGCTTTCTTCGGCAGTCTTCGAGCCAGATCGATCTGTCACAACCCCAGAATCCGAGGCTTGACGAAAACGCCTGGCGCATAAACATGGTCTACGGCCTCGACGGCGCACGAGGGCGTCAGGCCGGTGGCGCACCCGCTTTAGACAGGCGCGTTCCACTACTCGCAAAGCAGCTACTCGCAAATGGCCTGGATCCGCCGCGGGGATCTACGATCCGTGATACGGAGGCGAGCGCTGAGTTTTCGCAACGTGCTATTCGCGAACGTTTTTTGCTTTCAAACGTTTGCGAGGAGGCACTTTGCGAGTAGTGGAGCGCGCTCGGTGAAGCTTGGGCGAAGAAGGCGGAAATTTGGACGCCCGAAACGGGTACTGAAGGAATGGGCACGATGCCCAACAACAATTCCTGTTCATCTTCAACAGGGTTCGCTGTCCACGCCGCCGCGGCCTGTGTCCATTCGAGACAGAAGGCCGCCTGCCCAACAGCGGCCGCTGTTGGCTTGGGACAACATTTGTTGTTGGGCATAGTGCCCATTCTTTCCGTGCCCATTTCGAGTGTCCAAAGGAAAGGGTGCACCTGCCCGTCCCCACCGCCGGCGAGGTCGACACCCTCATCTTCCCCAACGAGAGGTGGGAATAGGCGGAGGAAGGCGGAGGAAGGAGAAAAGGGGCCTCCTGCTTCTCCCCTGCTGAAGCCCGGCTGCTGCAATGGCTTCGCACCGAGCGTCCTCTGTCAGTGTTGGGCCCCAGGAACCCTCACAGATCAACCCGGGTGGGAAATGCCGCAGAAAGATGGGGTCGATTGCTCCAGATGCGACTTCTTGTGATGCATTTCTTCCACAACTTCGGATCTACGATCCTCCTCCCCCTGGAAAGAGGGAGGAGGATGCCAGCACCCGCAGATCCGACGGGGCAGCCATGCCCGCGTCCGACGAGGGAGAGAAGAAGGGGAGGAGAAGGAAGGGGAGGGGGCCGCCACGACGGCCTGGACCTCGGATATGGCGGGGACGAGCTCCATGAACTCGGGGAGGGTCATCGGGAGGTCGTCGACGCTTTGCTGCGCAGCGCGGGCGAAAACCAGGGTTCCCTGGCGCACAGTCAGCCCGTATCATAAGGACGTACGATGCAGTGGAGGCCAGTCCACAAAAACCTTTTCACAAGAAACCCAACCCTGAGACCCCAGGACGTCCATGGTTTTTTTGGTGTGGGAACGTCACGCTTTCCATCGCAAAAACATCGAAACCCAAGAAACCCAGGGCACCCTGGAGGCAAGCAGGGTGTTTCTTGGCATGGGTCCCAACTGTATGAGGATGCAGGGGCCGTGGAAGGTCATGTCGGCACTTTCCGAGCGGGGCGCGGCCAGCGAAAGCGGCAAATGATGGGCCGAAGGGGAAGGATGCAAAGGTAACCTTGGAACGTCGCTCATCCTTCCTATGCGGGTTGACTGTACCCCTAGGTCGGACGAGGTGGGTAGACACATGCAATACAAGACTCGTCAATTATACGCTGATGACCGTTGTGTTCGATGCTTGTGCGATCGGCGCTACTTCATTGCTGGCGGGAGCTATTTGGCCCAGTTGCACGGGTGTCCGAAATCTGGCAACACCCTCACAGCATTGAAGAATGCGATGTCTGACAAGTGTCTGAACTATCGAGCGCCACGATTTTAAGGGGCGTGTTACTTTACAGTAGACGAACCTTTGCCGCTGCCGTCCAGCATGGGCCCCAAGCAATGCGGGGGGTGGAAACACACATGTATCACATCAACGACCTAGCCGCGTCCACCGCGCTACATGTTCTGCAAAAGATACGGCCTGAGTAATTGCGCAACTACCCCGCAACAACCCGGTCGCTGACCACTCGACCTTGGATGACAGCTTTTGTTGCTACGACGATGTTCTTTACACAACAACTCGCCAGCTGTTTCCACTTGGTTTTTGATCAGAGATCACAAGATGGCTTCTTCATCGCGTGTACTTTTCAAAACTACCCCGAAACCCAAGAACATGCAATTGTGACTACCGAGTTGTGGATCCCGTTTCGATGGAGGTCCTTTTGGGGCCACGAAACGCGTGAGGGGGTTCCTGGAATACTGAAGGGGGAGACGCATGGGGCCGCGGACACTGTGGCCACAAAGCGATGTACTGGTGGAGCGGGCGCATGCGGCCGCGGCCACTAGAGCCTTCGATGGAGCCCCCGAGGGGGCCACGAAACGCCGTACCGGGTGGCGCGGACGCATGCGGCCGCGGTCACTGTGACCTTCGGTGGAGCTCGCTAACCGGCCACGAGGAGCTGTACTTCGTGGGGGAGACGCACGCGGCCGCGGCCACTGGGGCCTTCATTGGAGCCCCCTGTGGGGCCACGAAGCGATGTACTGGATGGCGCGGACGCATGCGGCCGAGGTCACTGAGGCCTTCGGTGGGGCTCCCGATGGGGCCACGAAGCGCTATGCGGGGTGGCGCGAACGCATGCAGCCGCAGCCACTATGGCTTTCGCTAGTACACTCGATGGGGCCACGAAGCGCTGTGCGGGCTGGCGCGGACGCATGCGGCTGCGGCCACTGGGGCCTTCATTGTAGCTCCCTGTAGGGCTACGAAGCGCTGGACTGGGTGGCGCGGACGCATCCCCATGTGGTTACGAAGCGCCGCGCAATCTGGCGCGGACGCATGCGGCCGCGGCCACTGGGGCCTTCGGTGGAGCTCTCTGTGGGGCCACGAAGCGCTGTACTGGATGTCGCGGGCGCGTTCGGCCGCTGTCACTGGGGCCTTCCGGTGGAGCTTCACATGGGGCCACGAAGCGCTGTGCTGGGTGTCGCGGACGCATGCGACCGCGGCCACTGGGGCCTTCGGTGGAACCCCCGATGGGGCCACGAAGCGCCGCGCGGGGTGTCACAGACGTATGCGCCCGCGGCCCCTGGGGCTTTCGGTGGAGCTCCATATCAAGCCACGAGGCGCTGTGCAGGGTGGCGCGGACGCATGCGGCCGCGGCCACTGGGGCCTTCGGTGGAGCTGCCTATGGGGCCACGAGGCGTTGTACTGGGAGGCGCGGACGCATGGGGCCGCGGCCACTGGGGCCTTCGGCGGAGCTCGCTATGGGGCCACGACGCGCTGTACTGGGTGGCGCGGACGCATGCGGCCGCAGCCACTTGGGCGGTCGGTGAAGCTCCCCATGGGGCCACGAAGCGCTGTGCGGGCTGGCGCGGACGCATGCGGCCGCGGCCACTGGGCGCTCCTTATGGGGTCACGAAACGCGTGAGGGGTGTGCCGAAATGCGGAGGGCAGAAGCAAGGATGGCAGGAGGGAGGGGGGGGAGGAGGAGGAGTGAGTGACGCGGGGCACTCTCTTCAGAAGGAAGACCCGAACCTACAGTATGGTAAGAAACCAACTATCCGGGCGAAAGACCCAAACATTTGCAATTGTGACTACCACGTTGTGGACACCGCTGTCGGTGGAGCTCCCTTTGGGGCCACAAAGCGTGTGAGGGGTCTTTCGAACTGGGCGCGGTGGTGCCATGCGAACGTAACCACTGAGGCCTTCAGATGAGGCCACGAACCGCGCGAGGTCAACGGGCCGACGTATGCGAACATTGCCTCTGGAGCCTTGGGTCGAGCTCCCTTCCTGGATCAAATAGAGAAATCTGCTAAAGATCAGTCCCCACACCTTCCCTGGGGTCCATCCATGCTAATGTTTCGAGCGGCGTCCAACCGTGAAGACGAAACAAACCTAGAGAAACGCCCAAACTCCTCCAGAACGAAACTACGTTGTCGATCGACGTGCACGTCTTCAATGCGCGATGATGATTCCTCTCCCCTGCTATCTACACCCGCAATCATCTCTGATCATCCTATGACACCCCTGTGTGGGCCACGATGGGGGATCGGGACAGGGATCGGGGCAAGGACAGAGCACTCGGGATATAGCTTAGAAATCCTCCGACTCCCGCATGCCGCGGGTGATAAGGCATGTGCTATTGCTCCCGCATGTAATAACCCCCGCCTGAAGGTCCGAAATCGCGCTCGCCACCCTCATTTCATATTTGACGACTTTCAAGATGTGTGCATTTGAAATCAGCGCGAGAATCTTTCCTTATCCCCACCGTCCGTCCCCCTTTTCCTTGACGGTCCCACGCTCCTCCTGCCCGCCTCCCGTTCTAGCCGCGCTTCCACGTGGGGGCATATGTAAAGCTGCCTCACGTAGCCTTCGCCCTGCCCAATCCCCCCTGTCTCGATGCGCTTCCGCATGGGACCACGTGGGAAGCGGCCCCCATTGGCCTCCACCCAACCCTGTCCGCCCCCCGTTTCCGCTGCGTGTCCATATGAGGCCACATCGACAACTGCCATATCTGGCCTCCCTGGCCCGCCCCAGCTTTTCCGAGACGCGTCCGCATGGACCAGTGTGACAACAACTGCATTTGGTCTCCACCCCTCCCACCCGCCCCCTTTTGTCAGCGCACTTCCGCATGAGGGCCATATGGGAGGCGGCTCCACTTGGCCTCTATCCGACTCTATCCCGTCTCCGCTTCTTGTTTGACTCCTCCTCCACATGGAACCGCATGGAAAACGCACCCATTAGGCTTTCGCCCCCACCCCCCCCAGATGGCCCCGAAATAAACCCAGAATCATCCAGAAAGCCTCATACATGCATCAAGGTTCTGCTGGCGCCCCCCCACGCAGCCGCAACATAGCCCCGAGACAGCCCCAAACCAGCTCAAACAGATGACCCCCCCACCACACACACACACACACACACACACACACGCGCACACACAGCCAGCCCGAGGACCCTCAACAACAAAACAGCCCAGAGTTCTGACAGCAACGTGCAGACGACAGCAGAGCTCTGGACGCTCACATCTTGATATGTGTGGTGGCTCCCCATAGGTGGCCCGCAACTGAGCAGACGCCCAACGCAACGGTGCGATCCTGGGACACATGCCGAACGGAACCGCTGCACCTCCTACCTCAACATGATCGCTCTCATCATTTTTGGACGCCCGAAATGGGTACGGAAAAAATAAGTACAATGCCCAACAACAAATGTTGACCCAAACCAACAGCGGCCGCTGTTGGGCAGGCGGCCTCCTGTCTCAAATGGACGCTGGCCGCGGCAGCGCGGACAGCGAGTCCTGATTCAAAATGAACAGGAACGGTACCCGTTTCGCTCGTGCAGACCATTGCTTCTCTGACGTATGGCCAGTGAAACGGCGCGAACCCCTTGAGTAGGAGGAGGAGGAGGAATGGGGGGAGGAGGAGGAGGAATGGGAGGAGGAGGAGGCGGAGGAGGAGGAGGAGAAGGAGGAGGAGGAGGAGGGGGAGGAGGAGGAGGAGGGGGAGGAGGGGGAGGAGGCGGAGGAGGAGGAGGAGGAGGAGGAGGAGGATAGGCAGACGGACACGGAGACGGAGAGGGACGAGCCCCAGAGAGGCCACGCCGCCCGCTCGACCCCGGAACCGGCGACTCCCCGACGAGCTTCGATCGAAAGGTACACAGGAGCCTTGCAGACAAGCTGTGTGGGGAGAAACTCCATAATTGAGGGATGAAAAAACGACCCTACCCTGGGTTACAAGTGCGTGGTCTGTAAACCTCCTGGGAACACCCAAGGCCTAGAGCCGCCAGGACGCGGCACGTCACGCAGGGCTTCCCCTGTCAGCCCACAGGAGTTTCAGCGCACAGCGCCTCGTAAACCAGGGTAGGGGCGTTTTTGATGCCCTTGACATAAGACCCTTGCATTGCAAGCTGCTGGTGAAAACAGCTGAGGCAAAACAATTGATGGTGATGGCTCGCAAGATGTACGACTGTGCTACTCCTGGTTTCTAGTACGAACAAGGTCCTGACACGAATACGGACACGTACATCCAGATGGGTATGGGCACAATATTAACACTACTAAGAACGTCGGTGCGAATACGACTACTGATGGTAACAGGAATGCAATCACTACTGCAACTAGTGGTGCGAATGCTTATGCTCACGATGCTCCCTGAACCAAGGCGAAACGTGCCAGATGCTGCGCCTGGGGCGCCGCCAGCGGGCGACCAGCCCGCGACCAGCGCCGGATCTGCCGAGAACTCCGCGCGGAAAACACAAAATCACCCTCGACTCAGGCTCGCGGCTCGGGGATGGACAGAACCCCCCTTAGTAAAACGTGGTTTGGTGAAAACGACCTCGGGCCCAAGCCTGGCGGGCGCAAGTCAAAAAAATGGTCGGGGGACGATTCTTGGACTATTTATTAGCATTAGGGGGGTCCAGCGCGGATTTCTCGGATCCGCGCTGGACCCCCCTCCCTGGCGCGCGGAGCGCGAGGCGCCGCCGGGGGGGGGGGCCCAGCGCGGATCCGAGAAGTCCGCGCGGAGCGGCAGCAGTCCAGGTTTATGGCGTTTTTTTGTTCGTCTTCGAATGTCTGCGCTTCCTCTTGTCGTGCCGCTGCCGCTTCTGCTCCTCGGCCCCCTCGCCGCCCAGCTCCCGCGGTGACCGCGAACAAAGCCGCGCCAATTCCCCCCATCCCGGCCGCGCCCGCGACCGCAGCCGGCCGCAGCCGGAAGCAGAAAACCACGAAGGCAACATCGCGATCACTCCCCCGCGCCCAGATGCAGGAGAGCCCATAATCAGATCGATTAGTCGGATCGGCGATCGAAATGAATCGGATCGGCGGAAATCGGCAGCCGAGTCGGGAAAAGTCGGATCGGCGGAAATCGGCAGGCTACTGTGCGTCCCATAAGGAGTCGGAATCCGAATCGGAATCCAAAGTCGAATCGAATCGGAATCGGAAGCCATCGAAATCGAATCGAATCGAATCGGGGGAGTCGAAATGAGCCCTGCAGATGCAGCCAAGGCCACAGCCGCGGCCGGAGCTGCGGACGCCGCCGCGGCCGCGGCGCCACCCCGCCTCGAGCAGGTCCTTCACCGTCACGTCTGGCGCGGGCGCGGAAACAGCGCCGCGCCCGGGGGCCGAGGCCCGGCGGCCCCGAGGAGCGATGCAAAACAGGGATAGGATCGGGAGAAATCGCTCCAAAGCGTTCCGGAGCGCTCTCGGAGCGTTCCGGAGCGCTCTGAGAGCGGCCGCGGCGCCCAGTACCTCCTCCAAGCCCGCCGACTCTCAGAGATCTCGAGGTATCCCGATCCGATGACCCTCACAGATCGATGTGAAGTTGCAGTGTACATCATTCAAGCTTGTGTGTCACAGATCGATGCGGCTCGGAAAATGACGCAGAAAGATGGGGTCCGGGGGTCTGGTCGTGATTTTTTGCGATGCTGCAGTCTTTTTGACGTCGGATCTCAGGGGACGACGAGACTGACGGCGACGAGGAAGGCGGCGGCGGCGACGGTTGGTGACGAAGCAGCACAACCACCGACGATGGCGACGCCGCTCACTTTCCCCTGGCATCCATTGCTCCATGCCCCCACCAACCCACCCCCTCTTCCCCGGGAGAATGGAGCCGTCTTGTTACTCTTCTTCCTCCTCGCGTGCTCGGCTCTGGTATTCACCTGCCGTAGCCATTTTGGCTCAAGGGGCCTTCTGCTGCACGTCCAACCTCGCTCAAGCATTGGGCGAACATATTGGCAGTGAGGCAGTTTCAAAAGTGAGCCAGGGGTTCGCGACCCCATGCTTTCGGTCGGCGCCAATGTCCCTCAACACGTTGCCGGTGAGGACCTCTCGCTCCCATGCAGCCCAAATTGTACGGCAGCAAGTCGCCCGCTTCAGTCCCGTCCAGTCAGGACTGCTCGACGTGCAGTGGGTGCGGCTACACGTAGGCGCTAGAAAATCCGAAGCCGTGGCGAAACTCGAACAGCGTCCGTAGCCTGACAAGGGCTGATACACGATCTGTGCACAAGCAGGCGGGAGGCAGAAGACGGCGGCCGCAGAGAAACAGAAAAAGGGCACCCTTTAGACCGTGAAGCTAAGCCGTGCGGCGCCCAGGACCCTCAACGACAAGCTCCGCGTGGGCAGATAAGTGGATGGGCTGGCCCCTGCGAAGCGGCCAGTCCCAGTGGGCTGCATGGAAAGCCATGTGGGGAAGTAAAGAGATATCGATACCGCTACTCCAACTCCGCGGACCTCTGCTGGGATGCGTTCTGACCAGAATGTCGAGGCGCATCCAGCCGTGGCGACGAGGGCCTCCCTGGAGGCCGAAACAATGAGAAACCGAGGGACGGGCAGCGGTATCGGTACCTTTTTCCCCGTTGAGGTGGGCGTCGCGGCGGATGCCCTGTTCGCAGCGGAGGCCTAGCTCGAGTCGGAGAAGAAGGCCCTGGCGGGGCTCACGGGTGTCCAGAAGAGGCAAACGAACCTACCTCGCTTCTGACCACCCTTGCTCCAAAACGGGAACCAAACGATACCGAGCTACCCATGGGGTGGCCCGCAACGGTCAGGTTGCTTGACGAGGAGGCGCGTGGTATGCCTCAGCCTTAGTGTTGTAAGAGTGCAGAACAATGGATCTCATAAATACCCAGACAAACGCAGCCGCTTAGTAAACGAAGAACCGAACAGGGCAAGGCTGTCTGGCACACGCCCCGGCGAGTTCGGCGTTTCCTGGAAGCGAGAGCCAGATGCCTGCTAGATGGGCTCCGAGTGGATGAGGTCGGAGGATCCCGCCGCATCGGCGATACGTCGGCGATACGTCGCCGATGCGTCGGCGACGTATCGGCGACGTCGTCGATGCATCGGCGCCGCCTGCGTGGAGACATGACGGGCTCCACGTCGAGCCGCATCGGCGTTGCATCGGCGCTGCACCGGCGCTGTGGCGCGACCCTCCGACCCGCTCTGCTCGGACCCGTTCTGAGCGGCCTGAGATTTGGACACCCGAAATGGGTACCGAAAGAATGGGTACAATGCCCAACAACGAATGTTGTCCCAAACCAACAGCGGCCGCTGTTGGGCAGGCGGCCTTCTGTCTCGAATGGACACAGGCCGCGGCGGCGTGGACAGCGAGTCCTGTTCAAAATGAACAGGAACTGCTGTTGGGCATAGTACCCATTCTTTCAGTACCCATTTCGGGCGATCCTCTGACCCGCTCTGCTCGGACCCACTCTGAGCGGCCCGAGAAGCGCAGGGCAGGCAGCCCACCACCTGAGCCCCGGCGGACGGCGACCGCAGCAGCCGCCGGCCCCGCGGGCATCCGCCCACGGCGGGTGGCGACGGCCCCCGCCCTCGAAGATGGCCCACCCTGCTCGGCCTCGGGGGGCCTCGAGCGTGCGAGCCGCCGCCCTCTGTCCTCCGTCGCCCCACGTGGGCCTGACTCCAACACCCCTCCTCCTCCTCCTCCTCCTCCTCCTCCTCCTCCTCCTCCTCCTCCTCTCCTCCTCCTCCTTCTCCTCCTCCTCCTCCTCCTCCTCCTCCTCCTCCTCCTCTCCTTCTCCTCATGCTGCCCTCCTGCCTCCTGTGCCCTCTTCCGCTTCCCCCTCCTCCTCCTCCTCCTCCTCCTCCTCCTCCTCCTCCTCCTCCTCCTCCTCCTCCTCCTCCTCCTCCTCCTCCTCCTCCCCGCTTGCTCCCCTCGACCGCTCTCTACTGTCACTCGTGAAGAATGTTACTTTGTTCTCTCCACTGGCAACGAGTTGTCGCGCTCTCGCGCGTCCACGCATTGTAGTTCACACACGGTCTCAAACATCGTGCTCACACATAGTTCTGCACCAGGACCGTCATCGGTCCTTCAGCATCTGCAGCGGCTCGCCTAGTTTACAACTTGCGCTCCCGAGACGTCCTCGAAGAACGGCCCAAGTCTCAAGACCGTCCGGCCGCCTCGAACCCCCACTGACTCACCACACGGTGTGGTCACCGCACTGCTTTGGGGCCCCCGACCCTCGCCACTGTCATCGCCCCCCAATTACTCGCTCGTCCTCCTCCCGCTCTCCGTCCGACCCCGCCTCCAGCTGGCTGGAAGGGCATGGCCGCGCCTGCAGACGTGGGCGTGCAGCGCACTCCTCACTCTTGCGTCGAACCGCCAGCCTCGCCCGTCCTGGCCCTTCCTCCTCCTCCTCCTGCTCCTCCTCCTCCTACTCGTGCCCTTTCTCCTCCTCCTCCTCCTGCTCGTGCTCTTTCTCCTCCTCCTCCTCCTCCTCCTCCTCCCGCAATCACGCCGTCGAGGCTGGGAAGACATGACGGTCGTGGCTCCGGCACGGGGACGCTGCGCATCCCTCCCGCTTGGGAGCCACGGGCGCCTCCGGTTACGGACGCGTTGCCCCGGTCGTAGGCGTGCCTCGCGCGCGTTCGCACGCGGCGGCTTGCTGAAGGCGTGCGGCGGGAAGGCCGAGACGACGGGTAGGGAGGAAGGGGGGGATATCGAAGTAGGGGAAATCAGGGGAAGAAACGAGGAGGCAGTCAGAGAGGCGGAAGGGGAGGGAGGAGACGGGAAGAGAAGAGAGCCCTCGGACCACCCATCTCCCTTCTGCCGCCCCTGCCCCTCCATCTCCTCATCCTCCTCCCCGTACTCCTCCGTCGTTCTTCCAAATCGACGACTCCTCACCGTTGACCACCAAACGTGTCAGTTGGGCGGACCGGGCAATTCGTCTGAGACTTCCTCCCCGTTTACGACCCCAACGCTTGACACTTCCGAAAGTCATACGCGTGGAGGGTTGGCTGTTTGCAAAATGTGGCTCTCGCCTTGGCGCAGCGCGCACGAATCTGGAACATTTCCAGCAAGTGCACGGATGGGGAGGAAGGGCCGTTTTCAACATGCGTATCTCGCGCACGCTCGCCAGACACATTCCCAACACTAACATGGACGGAGGAAGGTCGTGTTCTAAATGAGGCTCTCGCCGGGTACCGCGCACGCTCGTGTTTGAAACATTTCCACCAGTGGCACGGGTGGAGGGGGATAGTCGTTCTCAACACATGGCTCTTGCCTTAGAGCAACACGCAGTGGGCTTAAACCGTACAACAATTCCACGGATGGAGGGGTGGGGTCGTTTCCGATATGTGGCTCGTGCCTTCGTGCCACACGCAGTCGTCAAGCACGCGTCATCATTTACGGCCACACCTAAGACACAACAACATCCTTGAAGAACATGAAACCCTCCGCAGGACTAAGCTGAAGAACGTTCGAGCGTCCCCTCCCACAGGATGCACAAAAACATCCAACAAGCACGACGACAAACATTATGGTATCCTCCCCGAGCCGACCTCGATCTTCGACCTCGGGCCGACCGTAGACATGTTGTGCCATCCCTGCGAAGCTTAGCGGCAGCGGCGGAGGAAAAGCGAGAGACAGAGAGAGAGAGGGGGAGAGCGAGGGAGAGAGAGAGATAGAGAGATAATGAACTATTGAGCAGGGACCGACCATCCCGGCATTCCTGGAGGCCTACCAAGATATGTTCTTAGAACCCAGAAATGTTCTAAGAACAGAACAATGTTCTTAGAACATCACCCAGACGTGTTAAAACAGGACAGTCCCAGCAATAACTGTTCTGATAACATTTCGCGCAAACCACAACATATGATTAGAACATCCTTTGGTAGGCCCATCGGCACGTCAGGACGCTTCGCCACTGCTTGAAAAGAGAGAGAGAGAGAGAGAAATTGCCAACGTTGGCATTTTCGCGGATGGCGAAGGAAATGGCACTCGCCTTAGCCCGGCGCGCATTCATCTCCAAAATTTCCGAAACTGACACGGATGCAACTCATCTCGAACACGCAACTTTCGTTTCAGATCTGAGACATCCTTCATCGGTAGATTTACGGCTGCTTCTCAAATCTAATCTCTCGTTTCTGGGATGTCTCTAGGTTCCAAACCATCCGTGCACAATGTGAGAATATTGAGGCTGGCGTGTTTGCTAAACGGGACTTGCACGCTTCCGTCAACGCAAGACCCCGGCTCAAGTGTGCTTAGCGCATCTTTGCCCCCCCCCCGCGCGCGTTGCATGGGGTGGCGTCCGATGGTGGCTTCGCTGCCGCGTCCTTGGTTGACGTTGCGGTTCGAGCCGCCGTGCAAAAAGGCGCGCCGCGCCGCACTGTAGCTGCTACCGCCGCCGCCGTAGCCTCCGTGGTCATGGTGGAGATGCGAAGCAGTGACGCTGCACGTGGAGGCGCCTCTGCTCCCCCTCCGACTGCCTCGCGGCGACGGAGAATCAAACGTAAGAAGAAGGCCGAAAAGGAGAAGTTGGCAGCTGCTTCTCGACCCGATCCCCCTGCGGATGAAGCGAGTCATGGCGGAGGTCCCGGGGGCGCTCCTGCTGACGGACTTGCTTTGCTTCTGTGGCGCCAGTTCACAGCGCTACCGCTGAGCATCCTCCTGGGCTCCTCAAACCGATTGCTGAGAACACGGCGCCTACGACTTGTCAACACTGTGGCGAGGTGTTGACTTCGAGGAACAAGCTCTTCGACCACCTCCGGACGTCTGGCCACAGTCAGTTCAATGTACCAAGGTCCGCTGGCGACAGTGCGTCTGTCTCAGGAGAGCCTTCTGCAGCCAGCGATCCACTTCAACGTGCAGCAGCTAATACTGCAGTTGCAGCGTCGGGGCTGAGTCAGGAGAGAGGCGGCACTACTGGTTCAGCCTTCGCGAGCTTGGATGCTCGCAGCTAAAGCAGCTGTCCTTCCAAAGGAGTCGCAGGATGCCACACTTCGAAAAGGGAAGGGACAAGGCGCACGCCCTGATTAGCTGGCTTGGGTGACTGTGCCGCCATTACTGATGGAACCGACCTTTTCTCTCTGCATTGTGCAATGATGGGCTCGTGCAACAGATTTCATCATCACCCGTCCAGCACTGCATGTCGCTGGAGTCTTCAGGCTACGCCTGTTCGTCACATGCCGATATCGAGATTTCTTCCCAGACATTTGCTGTCTTGGACACCGGCGTTGAGCTTTTCCTCGGCAAGGTCGGCCTGCGTTCCCGGCTTCGACCTGGCGCTCCCCTTCTGAGTCCAATGTAGCGTTGAGGCAGGCTTAGCCAACCTCTTTTCCATATTTGTGGCTGGGCAACCCCAATCTGTTCACATCACGCTTCCGTCAACGTTGGGAACGTAGAAGCATGCATCCCAACTCAATTTCAAAATGGGACCCTCGCCTGATTTGAGAAAGCATGGGGCGTGTCTTTCAAAGGCACTTCGACAATGAAGCAACCTTGCATGTAGGGACGTCTGAGGTGGGAGCTTGGGACGGGTGGGCACATTGCAGCATGGTTGACGCATCTTGAATGTAGTCTGGTTCTCCGACTCTGCCTCCTGCGACCCTCTCCCTCCTACCCCCCCCCATACCTCCACCACTTCCACCTCTTCCTCCACCCTCCTCTCTCCTCCTCCTCCCGTCTGTCTCCCTCGTCCTCCTACTCGTTCTCCCGTGCTGTCCGTCCTCCCACCCCGCATATTAACCTCCTCGTGTGAACGTTTTCTTTTTCGGCGTTGCGACATTGGGCGGAAGGGTGGGGGAGAGGGGGGGGGGGTCTGGCTCTGAACCCCTGCTTAGCGCAACTGCTGGCAGCAGTGCGTGCTACAGTGGAGACTCCACCTGCTTGAAACAGGCGTCCCAAACAGCCAAGATCTACCCCGTGGAGGGGGGGGGGCGGGTGCGAGGGCCCGCGCCGATCGGCAAAACAATGAGTAAGAGAACGAGCCCTGTCCACCTCCTCTTCACGTCCTCTGTCTGCTTACCACCCGCCTCCTCCTCCTCCTCCTGCTCCACCCCAGCCCCTCCTCCTCCTCCTCTTCGTCCTCCTCCCTCCTGGGTCAAGGATGGACGTTGTGTCTGCATGTACATAGTTCTCCTCGTCCGAGTCCGTTTCGTTTCAGTGCGGCAGCACGACGTACTCCACAGCAGAACCGTCGAAGCCCAGGAAACCGGGGGCACCCTGGACGCGAGCAGGGTGCTTCTTGGCATGGGCCCCCACCGCAGGGGCGGGGGGCCGAGGCGGAAGGCCGCGCGTCGGAACAGACGGCGCGGCGACAGATCATGGCCTCCGGAGGAGGAGGAGGAGGGGGAGGAGGAGGAGGTGGAGGAAGAGGAGGAGAAGGAGGAGAAGGAGGAGGAGGAGGAGGAGGAGGAGGAGGAGGAGGCGGCCCGCGGCCGCGACGACGACGCCGAGGGCGACGACGAGGTCGAGGGGGGAGGGGGCAGAGGGCCAGCACCACCCTCCGTCCTGCGGGGCCCGGGCCGGGAGCGAGGGGGGAGGGCGGAGGGGCGAGACGACGCCTCGGAGCCGCGCGGGAGCCACCTCGGGGCAGCCTCGGGGGCCAGCTGCGGTCCCCCCCGTCTCATACAGCGGGGGGGCCCGACCACAGGAGACCTCCCACCAGAAGCCCAACCCCGAGACCCCAGGACGTCCACGAATTTGTGGTGCGGGGACGCCACGCTCTCCATCGCGAAACCATCGGAACCCAAGAGACCCAGGGCACCCTGGAAGCAAGCAGGGTGTGTCTTGGCATGCGCCCCCACCGTAGGGATGCGCGATGAAGATTCAGATCCTCGGACGCACAACTCGAAGCTCTTCGAGCAAAGCGCGGCCAACGCAAGTGGCGAAGGATAGACCAGGGAGGCAAGGATGCAGTGGTGCCCTGGGGAAGGTTGCCCATCCTTACTATGCGGGTTGACTGTAGTGCTCACGGGGTCATCTTGGGGCCATCTCGAGGTCGTCTCGGAGGCGGCGTCGACATGTCGCAGGACACCCCTCAGAGGCGGCATCACGTTGTGGCGGCGCTGTTGGTGGTCTCGTTGTTCGTTGTTTGTCGCCTGTTGTCGCTGTTGTAGTTGGATTGCTGTTGCTAGTTTATAGTATTCGTGTTGATGCTGCTGCAGTTCCTGCTGTCCTGATCATAAGATGTGCTACCAATATTGGTGGCTTTCGTTGTGGTCAGACCACAGTCCGCAAGAGGACTGATTAACCAAGCACGACTGCGAGGAGTGTTTTTGGATTCAAGCATGTTGCTTTGGGCGTTTATTATTGTGTTGCTGTTGATGTCGCTCTTGTCGTTGCTGTCGTTGCTCCTGATGCCGGCTGTATCGATGGTATTGCTGATGTGCTTGCTTATATTGTTCCTGCTGCTAGTGCTGCTGTCATGTTGACTCGGTGTCTTCGCCGATTGTGTGGTCTGCCTGCGCACGTTGACCACAGGGCTGGTCGAGCGACCAGAAAGTTTGGTTTCTGGTACGTTTCTCATTGAAAGTGGTGTCGTCGTCGTCAACATTGACTAATGCTTTTGTTGTTGTTGCTGTAACTATTATTGTTGCTGTTGTTATTATCGGTGTTTGCCGCTGCTATTGGTATTGTTGGTGATGTTGCTGATGTTGTTGTTGACATCTCAATTCTAAATAATAGCTTTTGTTGGTTCCCCCTCTGGTGCACCTGGTGTTTTTTCAATAGAACTGCTCCTTCTGGGGCTCGCACCCTGTTTTTTACAACGGGAAAGATTGGTTCATAATTGCGATGTTGGCCCCCAATTTGCAACAACAGCGGCTCCCGCCTGATATCTCCGCACAATGTATTACAAAATCGCGCTCTCGCGCAGGACTTCCCCACAATGTCTGCAGGAATCGCGCTCTCGGGTGAGACTGCCTTGCAACTTATGCAGACGCCGTGCCCCCTAGACTCAGGAATCACGTTCTAGCTTTGGATGTCTCACGATTTACCTGGGCATCGCGCTATCGCGCGAAGCCTCCTTGCGATGCCTCCTTCCAATATCTCTCGTGCTCCATCCCTTTCCCTCCTCCTCCTCCTCCTCCTCCTCCCTCCTCCTCATCCTCCTCCTCCTCCTCCTCCTCCTCCTCCTCCTCCTCCTCCTCCGCCCTTCCGTCCTGAACTTGTAAGGGCTGCGCCAGTTCCGCGCGGCAGGCAGGGAAGACACCTCAACAAGGGGGGGGCGATCCGAGGCGAACGGGGCGGATAGCGGGGCTTGGGGCCCACGCTGGCCCACACGTGTGTTCTCGCGCTGCTCTGGCGCGAGGGTCCCACGAAGGCCTCGGAGCCAACGACGAAGGCCGACGCCTGGCTTCTGCTCCCCGGCACGGACCGCGAGCCCGGCTGGGAACAGATGGCTGCAGTGCAAGACGCCACGTGTCTGGAGACCGGGCAGGGCCCGACCCCGCTTGCCGATCCCTGGGGTGGAACGCGATCCCTGTCGGGAATGGGGGAGGGGCGCGCGCGTCCCCGCCCTGCCGACAGCATCGCAGAGGCTCCCGAGAGCCCTCCGGAGAGACTCCAAGAAGCATCCATGAAGACTCTGGCCCACAACCCAGGTACGTCTCGAAACACGGCTGGAGGTCTCTTGAGCCATCTTGGCGCTCTCTGGGTTAGTCGATTGGCTCTCTTCGACGGTGGGAGCCACATCTCCAAATATCTCCTCGAGGACATTCCTGCCTGCCCTACCGTTCCCCCTGTGCACGAGAACACCACCACGCAGCCGCAGTGATACGAATCAGGCCGGCGGGGTGAGCAAAGCGATTCAAACATATGAAGAAACAACCTGTTTGTAGATGCAAACACTCCTTGCAGCCATGATTGGTTAATGGATCCGGTGGCGTGCTATAATCAGATCACAACCACAGCCACCCACAATGCTAGCAAAACCTATGGCCTAAACAATAGAAACAGCAACAATGCCAACACCAAGAGCAGACATCAACAACATCGTGACTACAATAACGACAACATCCCACAAACAACCATCGGCACAACCAACGCCGCCCTCAAATGACGCCGCCTCCAAGGGTTATTACGTGGCATACGGACACCGCCTCCGAGACGACATCGATATTGCCTCGAGATTGCCCCAAAATGACCTGGTGAACCATAGTTGTCCCCAAGATTGCCTCAATATGACTCCGATGTTGCTCCAATGCGTTTCTCTCTTCTGCCCTTGCTCGCCCTCCGCCCCTTCGTCGTCCTCTCCCTCCTCCCCCTCGTCCTCGTCGCTCTCATTGTCGTCGTCGTCGTCGCTGTCCACCCAGCCTCCCGGGCCCAATATACATAGCGGAACGCCGCATCCCCGACGCCAAAAAAACACCGAATCCAGGGCTTCTCTGCTGGGGAGGGCCTCCCAGGAGGCCCAATAGGCGGAGGCGAGGGAAGGGCAGCGGCACGGGCACCTCTTCCTCCGCCCCCGCCCCACAGGATCGAGCAGGGATCGACCGTCCCGGCATTCCTATAGGCCTACCACGACATGCTCCTTTGAACCCAAAAATGCTCCAAGAACGAAACCGTGATCTTAGAACAAAAGCCCGACGTGCTCAAACAAGCCAGTCCCAGCCAGAAATGTTCTAAGGGCATGTCGCAGAAACCACAAAAAAGGTTCTCAGAACATTGTGTGGCAGGCCTACAGGAACGCCACGCCAAGACGCTTCGCGAGGCCCCGCGGAGGCCCTGCGGAGGCCGCCTGGCGTGCTTGTCGTTGAGCACGGAGAACGCCTGGGCCACCTTGACGAAGGCCTCCCGGCGCAGGTGGCGGAGGTTGGGCGCCCGAGTTATCCGGGGTAACTCGGGTCCGGGGTAACTCGGGTTTGGATTCCCGAAAAAGGAACCCGAGTTATCCCTGACCCGAGCTACCCCTGGTGATTCTGGGGCTCTGGACGCCCGAGCTATCCGGGGTAACTCGGGTCTGGGGTAACTCGGGCTTGGATTCCCGAAAAAGGAACCCGAGTTATCCCTGACCCGAGTTACCCCCGATGATTCGGGGCTCTGAGGAGGCGCGAGGGAGGGGAGGGGGGGGGCGAGCGAGCGAGCGAAGCACCCCCGTGGACCCCGGTCCGGGCCGCGCGAGCCCCCGGCGGGAGAGGCCGTGGCCTCCCGGAGCTGGCACGTCTGGGGAAGACCGACCTGTGTCGGGTCTGCGAGCCACGCGCCATGCTACAGTCGGGGCCTTGACCTAAGGAACCCCAAAGAAGGAACGAGGCTCCTTTTTTCCGTAAGCTGAACTTCGATGTCCTATCGAAAACCTAAGGACAATCCAGGGCAAGCTGCGATACACTGAAGGAACGCGGAGCCCCTCCCCAACGAAAAGGGTTCCTTCTTCAGGGCCCCGACTGTAACTCACGGAAGGTAGAGGAGAACCTCATGGTTGTGGGTGTCGACGAGGTGCCACCATACGGGGTCGATGTGCTGGCGCTCGAGTGACGACCACGCGGGGGCGTCTTGAACCGATCGAGCCCCAATGAGGTCGTTCGGTTGGCCTTTTGCAGTGGTTGGTGGGGCGCTGGATGCAACTCAGTTCAGTGCTGCCCGTTTGCGAGTCGTCACCCAACTATCAATCTGGTGGTGTCTCTTGGGATGCTCTGCTCGCCGTGTGGCACGCTTAGTGTGGTCGACCCAAGGGTTCAGCTGCACATAAACATGTACGCTCGCTGTTCTGGTCTGGAATTGCCATTGTGTCGTGTGGACGCGGGTTGCTGCCCGCGTCTTCGCTGGTGCTGCCGGCGCAACAATCGATGCTAAATGCTTCGCCATTCGTGCCGTCAACAACCTTCGCCTTATGGATGCTGTGTCTGTTTGAGCGTCCATGCCGCATCTCTGTATAGTGCTGTCGGGGCTGTGCTGTTGAAGATCCAGCGTCGGGGCACCAATGTTCAATGCTTGCCGACCAGCCCCTGTCCGCACCGTGTGACCGACGCCCATGCTGCTCCCGTACAGTGGTGGATGGGTCGTGGAAACTCAAAGGATGTTTGAGGTATTTGGTGCCGCCTTCGTGCGGGGGGAGATCGATTGCCATGCACTGGACGCCCGCTGAGCGCAAGCTCACCCTGTCGGTCCGTCTCGTCCAGTTGCTCAACTGCTGAGATTTCGAAAGGTGCAATTCGAATCCGCGGGGATGCGCCAGGCGCGCGATGTCCTCGAACATTATGCTGGGGCGCGGGAGATTTTGGCTGGTCAGAAGCATGCCGTCGACGAAACGGTGGTCGGTGAGTACGCTGGAGACGAAACCCATTAATTTCCCTTATCATTATTTCCCCCGTCGGCGATCAGTGATTCAAGGACGCGCTGTAGAAGAACGGTGAAAAGGCGGCTGAACACGTCGCAGTGTTTCGTGCTCTGTACACAAGTAACAACAAAGGTCGATCTAGTCAGAATGTGGTCGTCTGTCTCACATATGATAGCTACTGGGGTAGCGAGATCGGTTGTACGATCCGACCACGCCAACAACATGCTAACACATGGACTACTGAGACCCATTAGTTCTGGTTCCATTCGTTGTCCGCCCGCAGGCGATGCGAAAGGTGAGCAGCAGATGCATTAATGCCCTGGTATGACGCCTGCCTGATCACCAATATTTCGGGAACCAGATGCTGGTTGAAATCGGTTGTACGAGTCTACTGAGGAAGCTGTAAGGGTAATGGTCCCGTACCTATGAGACGGTCGGTTGGTGGATGTGTGCCCCTCCCTTCAATTACCATTACAGTAATACTATTCCAGCTTGCTGGTTTCGCAACGTGTGACTGGACAGTCGTGCCGATACATGAAGAAGTGCGTATTCGAAATGCCATGCGTTTTGCTTCAGCATCCCTGCTCGGAGGACTTTGTTGCCTGGGGCATTTCCAAGACGAAGCCCTCTCGTTGCCATGCCCAACCCATTCCTGATGTTAGGCGGAACGTCGCCGCCAAGTTGTTCCTGCTGCCTGGGCGTTGTCACCGAAACGCAAACGTGTCCGTAACACTACGCACCAACGTATGAAATATCTTACCGCGCCGTGCGCTTAGAACCTTCTTTGCCTGTCACGTAGGCAATGCGAATGCGCTTTCTGTGTAATGTGCCTGATGCTCTTGAGACCTGGGGTATTTGAACTGCTTTAGTACGTGAGTGCGTAGTGTGCTCCACTGCTGCGTGACAAACTCCTGCTGCGCAAGTTTGCTCAACTAGAGGGAGGAGGGATAGGAAGGAAGAGGCGGAGGGAAAAACAACATATTCCCTCCTCGTTATCCTCGTTCTTCTCCTCCTCCTCCTCCTCCTCGTTTCACATACTTTCTCCTTCCCGTCCCTCCTCCTCCTCTCTGATCACACCTACGCTTCCATTCCTCGTCATCGCTCCGCCTCCTTCACCTCCTGCTCCACACCGTCCTCTTACTCATCGTACTCCCTCCTCGTACCTCCTCCTCCGCCGCCTTCTCCCCCGCTTCGTCCACTCCCTTCCGTCGCTTTCCTAACCTCCTGAGCAACCCCCCCGGTCACAGCCTCTCGCGCACCTTCGTCCTGGGGGCGCGCGCGGCTGGCTTCGGGATGCAGCAGGCGGAGAGGGAGAGAGAGAGAGAGAGAGACGGAGAGATAGGAAATGATAATATACAAAGATAGAAAAAAGGGGGCGAAGGAGCTGATAAGGAAACGGAAGGAGGGAGAGAGGGGGGTGATCAGCGGGAGGAGGATGGGGGGAAGAGACTGGTAATACTTGTGTAGCGACGGGGGAGGAACAAGGAAGTCGGAAGATGGAAAGGGAGGTGGAGCGATGACACGAGACGACAAAGAGGACGACGAAAGGAGAGGATAAAACATGATGCGCAAGGGCTCGAGGACAGGAAACGTAAGCATGGCGGACGACGTATCACCCTGCTTGTCCCCGGAAGGGTTACTGCAGGAGGAGGACCAGCAGGAGGACAATAATGGAGCGAAACTGTGGAGCAACAACAAAATGAGGATAAGCTGCACATGATGGGAAACAGGAACAACAAGCATGAGGAGGACGGACACCGTCGTAAGGGGAAGCACGAAGAGAAGGTGGAGACGGGAGGGCAATGAGAACAAGCGTGGTGTGAACGACACCGCGGCACGGAGGCTGGGCAGCAGGAACAAGAACAGGAGCACGAGGAGGAGCAGGGGAACGGATGACTACAATGCGGAGGACGAAGGGGCTTCGTTGTGAAAAGAAGCGGAAACAGTGACACGAGCAGCACGCGGAAGAAATCCCACCAGCCCTTTGGGCCAAGGTGGTGTACGGTGGTGTAGGGGTATATTGCCTCTCTCTTCCAAGAGCCCTCTTCCCTTCTGGGAGGTGCACCCCCCATCCTCCCTGGGTCTGGCCGGCGGGTTTTGGGGCGAGGTGTTGGAGCGCCCACGACAGCTCTAAGATGGCCTCCGATGCTCCAAGATGGCCTTCCAAGGCGGCTCAAGATCGCCGAGGATGCTTCCGAGATGGCGTCCGACACACCCCCAAACGGCCCGACGAGAGGCATAGGAGGATCCCACGTGCTGTCGGGGCCCCCTCGGGACCGCCACGAGAGGCCAGACTCCTGCCATGACGAGGATAAAGCAACTCATGGTGTCTTCTCGTACTTCCGCTGCCGATGCGCTTCTGAGGATTCAAGATGGCCCTCACATGGCCAGAGGGAGGCCCAAGAAGGGCCCAAGAGCGCCCCAAGAGGCGATGTTGTTGACCGCAAGCGGTCAAGCGGGGGGGATAGTCATTTTGGAGCCCCATCCTTTGACCGAGAATCAGCCAACTGGCCCCAAGATGCTCTCGGTTGTCCCCTCAATAGGGCCCACAGAGAGCCCCAAGAGGGCCCCAAGAGGGCTCCAAGAGGCGATTGTGAGGGCTCTGTACTCGTCTTCGTTGTCCTCCTCCTCCTCCTCCTCCTTCCTCGTCCTTGTCCTTATCGTCTTCCTTTGCATTTTCCTTCTCTTCCTCGTCGTCGTGGTCGTGGTCGTGGTCGTCGTCGTCGTCGTCTTCATCCTCCTCCTCCTGCTCCCTCGGCCCCACGCAGGCCCTAGAGATAGTCCGACGATGCCCTCAAAGGCCACCCCATGCTCTCAAATTTCTCTCTGTTCACCCTGGTTGCCCGCTTTGTTTTCCTATATGTGTCTCTTCGTCCCGTTTACCCGCGAGCTCTCATGGGCAGATTTCTGAATGCGCTGGCGGGGGTACTTTTTTGATTAGCGGCCCGCAAGGAAAAGTCCAGAGGGCGTGAGTACCGAGGCTGGGGAATCTGGCGGGGGTACGCGAAGCGTGAAGAATATGGAGGAGGAGAAGAAGGAACACAGCCGAATAGACGACTTTCCGAGCCCCCTGCAAACGGGCCTCTCTCTCTCTCGACCTCTTCCCCATTGGCTGGCTTCTGATCCTGCGTTCTTTGCTGGACGGTTCTTGAGGCCCCTGAGCCTAAAAAACGTGCCCTGGAGGTGAAGTCAGGGAACAGAGGCGGAGGGGGAAGCAACCAGACCCTTGAAATCGGGATGTCATTCACGCGGTGGACCCCCAGACGTCTCGGCCCCCTCCTCCGGGCATGGCTTTAAGCCTCTACCGTTGTGTCAACGGTTCTAGGCCCGGCAAGGCCCCCCAGATGCCAGACCTTGTCAACATCCCCTGTTGCGCTATACATTTCACGACGCGAAGGAGCCCGCGGAGGAGGATTGACAGCAACGCAAATCTTCCACCGTGCCTTCTGCACAGTGGGGCGGGCTAGAAACTGGGCCGCCACGGGAACGGAAAGGGCAGCTCTGTGGAGCGGAAGTGGACCCCTCGAAGGGCTCGAACGCCGATGTTTTTTCCTGCCTGCGTCCAGCCGTGGCAGCGACGCGGCCTCTGGAAGCCCAAAAGGCAGCTATGGGCTCGAAGAGGCATCCGGACGGCGTCTCGGAAGCCTCTTGGGGGTATTTCGGGGCTGTTGTGGGGCCCTCCTGCGCCGTCCGGGTGCCCTCTGGGGCCGTCCCGGGGCCCTCTTAGACGGTCTTGGGGGGCCTGGATCAGCTTGGGGCGCCCGCGGGGCCCTCTTGGAAGCCTCCTGTGGTCACATAGACGCTCTCCTGGGAGCCTCTTGGGCCTGTGTTGGGCCCTCCTTGGCCCGTCCTGGGGCTGTCGTGGGCCGTCTTGAAGCTCTTTTGGGATGCTCTCAGGCCCTCTAGGGAGCCTCTGGGAACGTGATGGGACGACCTCGGAGGCCCCCAAAGGCGTCTTTGGCAGTTTTTGGAAGAAAAACGAGAACTCCCTAACCAGTCAAAAGCCTAAGGGAAATCGCTTGATTTTGCGTCTTGAGTCTCCCTTGGATGTCCTCGTGGGGGCCTCTTGGGCCGTCTGAGGGGCTTCTGAGGCCGTCTCGGGGCCACCATCGCCCCTCTTGGAGCGGTCTTGGGTCGTCTCGGGGCCGCTGGGGCGTCTCTTGGACGGTCTTAGAGATATATTAGGCCGTCTTGGGATCCTCTTGGGCGTCTCTTGGAGCGTCCTGGGCCGAAAAAGCCGCCAACATGGCCCCCAAAGGGCGTGTTAGAAAAATCTGCGCGGGCCCCCCCCCGGACCCCCCCCCCATTTAGGCTGAAACTCTGTGCAAAACTTCTTTCGCTAGCGTTCTTTCCGTATGCTCCTCTGTTGTCTAGTGAATATGCTTAAAGTGTTTTCTAAGGCCGACCCCCCAGTCTGCTAGCGCGCGCGCACAATCCAAAAACCATCTCTTTCTCCAGCCTGTGTTTCAGCATTCCAACAGGAACTGCTGTAGAGGCTCTGGCCGAAGAGGGGCTCTGGCCGAAGGGGTCAAACCAGCCAAACACAAACACCATAGGTATTCACGAACAAACAGCACACGAAACATCCAACTACAACCAAAACAGCAACAATAACACACTCTTAGACAGCCAAGCTCGCCCCGAGACGACCAAAATGCCTCCAATGCGGTCCCAAGGCTGCCCAAAACGAAGGCCTCCAGACGCTGCAAGCCGGCCACAGTATGGCCCAAGATGGAGAGAAGACGTGCACAGGGGACCTCAAGAGGACGCCCAAGAGGCTCTTGGCAGCCACAGCACGCTGAATTACCCTACGCCAGTGTTTACTAGCCGCTTGCCAGCCCTTCCTGATTTCCGAAACCCACTACGGCCCAAACAGTTCCTGGGAAGGCTCCACGACAACCTAAGAGGTCCTCACGAAGACCCAAGACAGAACCACGACGGCCCAAGAAACCTCAATGACGGCCAAGAGATGCCCCCACGACGGCCCCCGAAGGTGTCAGATGGGCCAGGAGTGCCGTCAGACGGCATAAGATGCGCCCCCAAACGGCCCCAGAGAGGCCCTCCAGGCCCCCGGGAGGCCCCTCAGAGGCCTCAAAGAGTCGAGGGACCGAGGTCGAGTTTAAGACCCACTCGAGCTCAGACCGCGCACCGAATTGCAGTGGATCTTTAACCAACCTCCTTCACGCTGCGTTGCTGCGCTGGCACGGTGGCGAATTCTTGCCGTACGCAGATGGCGAGGAGGGGAGAGCCCGCCCCACTGCCGTCCGTGCACTTGTCCGGATGCAGCTTGAAGGCGAGCTTCCGGTACGCCTCGTGGCAAGCGGGCGGACGCGCACCCGTGCTGAATCCGTGCGCCCAGCGACCACCCACCAAGCGAATGCAGATGAACTGCCAACCATGAAGGATAAACGAGCCATGACCAAAACATACTGACAGTCAGATGCGAGCCGCAACAAGCAATAGCATTCGCGTTCGTAGGCCCGCGCGGCTTCCCTGGGTCGGCGCAGAAGGCGCCGCCAGGGGGGCATCCAACGCCGACCCAGCGAATCCGCGCAGGCCTCCGAAAGAAACAACATGCTTTATGCCATCTGTGCCCGGCCGAACGAGCACGGCGGGGTCGAATAGGCAAAGGATGAGCAAGCAAGGATGGGCCGAATAGGCCAGGATGCAAGGGCAGCCCCTGCTGAGGCACTGCGTCCTGACTGCCGAGGTTAGCAGTCATGCAACGCTCGCAGGGGAAGGCTTCAACGTCGACCTCGAACTGTGAAAACCCTCCACCCCTTTAAACTGAGGTGGTCCAGCGATATCGCTATTTCCTCCTCCGACGCCCTCTTCCCTTCGGCGGAGTCGAGGAGCAGGACCAGCCACTGAGGGGCAGCGTGGGGAGGGGGGGGGCGGCTCAGGGCGCGGAGGAGGAGGAGGAGGAGGAGGAGAAGGAGGAGGAGGAGGCGAAGGAGGGAAGGAGGAAAAAGCATCGACGTGGAATCGTCGATACGACGCCGATGGGCTCCCGACAGCGAAACCGCGCGGCCCTGGGCGGGGGGTGGACTGGCGGTCTCCTGCCGGCGATGCACGGGCGGGGGTCGCTGCACCCCCCCCCCGGTGAGCCCAGCGCCCCCTGACGCCGCCCCTGACCCGCAGCCCGCCCGGGGGGGCGCCTTCTTGACGGCCTCCTCGCTGTCGCCCCTGCTGATGCCTCGGGGCGAGAGGTGCACGGGGGAGGAGAGAGGATGGGCCAACAAAGAGAGGCGGTGAAGTGAGAACACGGGCGAGTGTAAGAGTGGAGCGGCACGGGTTCCCAGAAGCCCATCGGACAGAACAAAACGATGAACGGGTAAGCACTAATTGGTGGATCGGTCTGCATCCCGATAAACCAAAACACCTACATGACCGAATCGTTGTTTCGGTTCACCAGTCGGTCCATCGATAACCCGATATGCCGCCCGCGCACGTGGAGGCGCTTGCCGAGGCGCCCGCTCTCACAATCGCTTTATCGTTTTTGAAGGGGCCCTGGGACACACACACATAAATACACACAACTAACAATATTCCCCATATTTTCCCATATTTTCTGGGTGTTTGTCTTCCCACCCAATTCCCATATTTTCCAATATTTTCTTGGGAATCGACGATTAATGGTGTCTGTGTGTTTTTGTCCACTCCTGAGTTTTACAAGTTATGTGTTTGTCGGTTGACTGGATGGTGCACATCTACATGACGCACATCAGTGTATCGGTTTAGCGGTTCACCGACTTTTCGGTTGTTATCGGCTGACGTTTTGTTTTCGGGTTGCATTAGAAGGATTTCCGCGGAAACATCTGACATGCTGAGGAAACGTGCAGAGTTCTCTGGATGTGTCAAGATCCCTATGGTATCCTAAACACCTCTATGGAATCGTCAGGATGTCGTCGGTTTCTCTAAGGTCCCCGAGATACCCGGATAAGTATTTGGGCTCCACGGTGCCCTAAGGAACCCGGCAACAACTATTAGATTTCTCGCGGTACCTGAGACATCTTCGGGAGCAATGTCAAAACCCAATGTTCTTTTTGGGTGCCGCATACATCCGACGAAGCCCGACATGGTCGACAAAGATTCGGGGGGTCCGTGTTGTAAGAAATTCTGAAGAAATTTGTTATGTTTTCTGGACTTCTTCGGATTCCGAAGCAAGCCTCACGAGCCTAAAATAGCAATCTAAACCTTACCATCTCCGCGACGCCTGCGGATCCCAAGGCATCTTCCGGAAACTAGCGGAATCTTCAGGATTGCGCCAAACTGCTCAGACATCCGAGGAAACAGTCCAGATTCCTTCTGATTCTTCAAGCATCGAAGAACAACCTAAATCATCGGAAGGTTGTCATGAGGTTGATGAAAAGTTTCGAGGAACCCCGCATAATCTTCCGGATTCTTCAGGATCTCCAAGGCGCCTTCAAGATCGTTATGGGGTCAACGGGAATTCTGTTGATTGTTGAAACATCCAGGGTCGCCATAAAGACTCCTGTACTTCTTGGGGGCCCTGAAACAAGGAACCCGACAGCATTGCCAGGATGCTCCCCAAACAGTGCTTGCACTGCGGGGGGTATCTGCATGTGTTGTAAGGCAACTGGGCCCCAGTGGTAAAACAGGGCTAGGATCGGGATAAATCGCTCCAGAGCGTTCCGGCGCCCTCTCAGAGCGTCCCGGAACGCTCTGGAGCGGCCGCGGCGCCCAATACGTCCTCCAAGCCCGCCGACTCTCAGAGACTTCGAGTTCTCCCGCTCCGATTTTGTCCCGATCTTCGCGTCGTTTCAAGTGGTGCCTCGGCCAGCCCGCCGCCGCCCGTCGCCGCCGTCAACGCCGGGTCCTCGCGGCGGTCCTGCCGGCTCGTCGCCGGCCGCCGCCGTCCGACCCGTCGTCACCACCTGCACGGCACTCGTCCAGGGCGTGTCCGGTCGGCTCCTCGCCGCCCGCCGCCACCGTCTGCTGCCGCCGCTGAGACCCGTGCGCTCGCACTCGCCCGCTCGCAGAGCATCGCACATCGCACCATAGCATAGCACAAGTTTGCATCGCCCACATCGGTTTGCATTGTTTGCGTTGCTTTTCATCGCAAATCATCGCATTGCATGGCATTGCATGGCATTGCGTTGCTTCTCATTGCTTTGGCGGGGAATTAAATTGGATTGCGTTGCTTCGCACTGAATCGCATTGACTTGCAGTGTTGCGCATTGCAACGCATGGCTTCGCATAGATTGCGTGGCATCGCATTGCGTTGCTTTGCATTACTCTGCATTGCGCATTGCTTTGCAATGCGCTGCATTGATTCTCCTTTCTTTTTTTAAAAAAGAAGCCAACAAAAAAATACTCTCCCCCCCCCGCGTTATCGCTCCCCCTTTCGGGTATGTAAATCTCATATGACTCTGACCACATGTCCATCCTAAACATGAAATCACAATGTCGCTGGCCAGCCGGGTTCCCCACCCCTGAGGTTCCCTGGTAAGAAAACACTATTCGGTGACATTTTTGTTCTAACATAACACTGTTTCACGAATCCTTTGCAAACAATGGGACGAAGTGCACACGCGCGCGTCGTCGCGCGCGCATGCCGGAATCCTTCACAAACCTTCGGTGCCGGAAGGATTTCGCAATCGAGTTTCCGAAACACATACAAAAACACAGGGTTTCGTAGCACTGATTTGCTAAAAAAGCTTACGCGCGAGCTCTTGCGAAATCTTAAGAACACCATTGGTTTCGAAATGTTCACAACATGCTCTCAAACGGGCGTCGCGCGCGCGAATGTCGATATCTGTCGAACGCCCTTGCGCGTGTGCCGTCGCGAGAATCCTCTGCAAAAAATGGACGAAGTGCAGACGCGCGCGTCGTCGCGCGCGTACGCCGAAATCCTTCAAAACTCATCGGCTTCGGAAGAATTTCAAAATCGCGCGACCAAAATACATACAAAAACACAAGGTTTCGCAACACGGGTTTTCAACAAAAGTGCGCGCGCGCTCTTGCGTCGTCGTCGTCGTCGTCGTCGTCCTCCCTCCTCCCGCGTCGTCGTCGTCGTCGTCGCCTACGTCGTCTTGTGTCTTTCCTCGTGTTCGTCGTCGCGGCCTCTGGCGGCCCTGCCGCAAGGGCGGCGGCCTCTGGCGCCTCGGGCGCCTCGGGCGCTGGCGCCTCGCAGGCGCCCTCGACGTCGACGCGCCGCGCGCGCCGGCCAACCGGCAGGGAGCGGGGGGCTCCAACCTTCAACGACCCAAAACTGCCGAGTCTCGGACTTTTTTCGGCGGCGATGACGACGAGGACGACGACTGAAGGAGGAAGGAAGGCAAGGTGTAGGGCCATGTGAGCACAAGGGTTTGAAACCTCGCATTGTGTTGGGAGCCTCTTGGGACAACGTGTGCATCCGTAGCCCCCCTTTGGCCGTCCTCGGGCCGTCGAATAAATGTCGCGGGGCGTCTCTGTGCCCTCGTGGCCATCACGAAGGTGTTTTACGTCATATGTGGACCGCATCGGGCCTCTCTTGGGGCTCTCTCTCGGGAGCGTTGGGAATCAGCGCATTCAAATTGGCTCGACCATCATGAGCTTCTCTTGGGCCCCCCCGCGTGACTCACTCGGGGATGGCCTGGGGCTAAACAGGCGGCGCGCGTGCCATTGCTTTTTCACGCTGAGGAAGGACAAGGAGGGGAAGAGGAGGAGGAAGAAGAAAAGGAGGAGGAGGAGGAGGAGGAGGAGGGGGAGGAGGAGGAAGAGGAGGAGGAGGAGGAAAGGACAAAAGGCGGATGGGGGTCCCTGGGCTGCTGGGTAACACTGGGGGTCGGGGCGGGGGGGGTCTAGGCGGAGCGGGTACTGGGTTGCTGGGGGACGCTGGGTTGCTGGAGAACGCTGGGGTGCTGGGATTGTTGGGCTGCTGGGGGACGCCGAGGAAGGGGGGGCGGGGGCGCGGCCCGGCGCGGAGCGAAAACACAATTGCCCGGGCGGAAGGGGACACTGGGCAGAGAGGGCATTGGGCTGCTGGGGAGCGCTGGGGGGTCGGGGCGGAGGGAACACTGGGCGGAGAGGGCACTGGGCTGCTGGGGAATTCTGGGCTGCTGGGGAACGCTGGGCTGTTTGGGAGGGGCGGGAGGCGGCGGGAGGGGGCGGGGGGGGCGCGGCGCGAAAATCAAGCGGTCGGGGCGGAAGGGGCACTGGGCGGATAGGGTACTCGTTTCGGCATTGGGGCGGGTGGGCAAAGTGGGCAAAAGGGGGCACTGGGCAAGCCCTGGGCATTCACTGCTCAAGTTCTCGATGAACTCCGCTCTTTACGCTCAGTGTCTCTCCCGCGCGCCTGGCCGAGATGTTGGAAGCCATTATTGCCCCCCCCACTCCGATCTCTCTGCCAGTGTAAGAAGGGTCGCTTGTGGCAGGGGCTGGATGCCTCTAGGTCAGTGCAGCTTCGCGCCTGTGGCTTGTCCTACCAGCGTGCAGTGATGATGATGGTGGCGGTGGTGGAAGGGAGGATTGGAGGGGATGCGCGTCGTCTTGTACCAGAGTTCTTCGCCTTGCTTGGCGCTGTTCCTGGAGTTATGGACCGAGTTGAATGCAAGAGAGGTGGATCAGGCGGAGGGAGCCTCTGGGTCGTCCATGGCTTTCGAGCGGGTCTTGGACACGAGAATATTGCGGTTGAGCCGCCTTGGATCGCTTCTGGCCGTGGAAGCGGCTCGGTGGCAGGCGCGGGCGCCGCAGTCTCCCCCTCGAGCTCTGCCGCATCCCTGTGTCCATCACCATGTCCATCCTCCTTGTCCCCTGCATCTCCTTGCGTTGACTCTTGCGCTTGCCTCTGTTGCTGGATTGCCGCCATTCTGTCATGCCTTCCCGCGGGCCGCCGCGGGCCACTGACGCGACGGGTCCGAGCGTGCGCCCTCTAGCCTGCGCAAGCAATGCGAGGGGGAGGAGGAACAGGAGGAACAGGAGGAGGAGGAGGAGGAGGAGGAGGAGGAGGAGGAGGAGGAGGAGGAGGGGGAGGAGGAACAGGAGGAGGAGGAGCAGGAGGAGGACGAGGAGGGCCCCCCCATCCCCCGCGAAGCGAGGGCCCCAGCCCGACGCAGGGGGGCCGCCTAGCACCTCGTAGTGGTCGGGCGCGCGCTGGTCCAGATTCGACAGTCTCTGTATCTCCTGGCTCTCCTCGCGCACGCGACGGCGCACTCCTCCTCCTCCGCCTCATCGTTATCCTCCTCCTCCTCCTTTTCATCTTCCTTTTATGTTTCCCGTCCTCCTCCCCATCATTCTCCTCCTCCTCCTCCTCCTCCTGATCCCTGTCCTCTTCCCCCTGTCCTCTTCCCCCTGTCCTCCTCTTGTCACTGCTACTAGGGGTAAATTTTCTGACATGACGATCGCAGTGGAACGAATAGAAGGATGAAAGGCGAGTACCTTTTCCAGTCAGTGTGCGCTCGGCTTGAGCCAGAGCGGTTGCAGTAGCAGCTGGCGCGCGCGTGCCAGACGTAGCTGGATTGCCAACCGGCGATAGACAATATGTTATTACATTGACTAAAAAAGGTAGCTGCGGACAGCACGGATGCATGCATCATCGATAAATCGGCGATGGCTTTGGCAATAAAGTCTACAAACAGTTCTGCTTGTGTGACACGCTATTCACATGGCTTGGGTCCTGGAGCCGATCGAAAGGAAGCCCTCCCGACAGGTCTCCGGACGTCTACACCCCGTGAAGGGGTCGAGAGCCCAGGGAAAGAAGAAACGACCCAAGCAGGGACGGGGTCGAGAGCTCCCGGGGCGTCGCGCCTCCAGCGCGCGTATGCCGAAACAGTTTATCAGAACTATAATACACACCATGCCTCAAGATGCTATGCACATGATTCTGCATTGCTGATCTGCTCACTGATCCGGGTGCGACGCGCATGACCACTCAGAAACGTGGGGTTCGAAGGATTCACGTGCTCCCCCCATCCGCGGCTCCGGCGGCCGCAGCCGTGGACTGTCTCTGTGAGTCGTCCTGCGCCTTCTGTGCCTTCGCAGCCCGGCGGTCGTTCGCTCCAGGCCGGCATCGTTTCTTGCCGCGCCTGCGCTTCTTGGCTGGCTCCTCCTCGTCGCTCTCCGGGATGGTGGCCGTGACCTGCTGGTCGTCCTTGACCTCTGAGGTCTGCTCCTGGAGAACACCACCCAGAACAGCCCGCAGCGTGTCGTTGTCGAGGAGGTTGGCCTTCACGAACATGGCGTACCAATCCCTCTTGCACTCGCCGTACTTGTTGTGCAACTCTGGCAACCTGTCAAAATTGTCCGGCGAATACTTCGCGTACAGCAATTTGAAAATATCCCCCCACAGCGGATCGTCGTTCTCAAGGTTCGGACACATCATGGGGTACTCAATCACTGCTGTCTTGAGAGACATGGTCTGGTCAGGCGGAGGCTTGTCACTCCAAGACTCGATGACCTTCCGGGTGGTCGCAGAGTCGTACACAGAGCGTCTCCCCGTTCCAGTGGCGCCTGCGCTTGGTCCCAACGAAGCAGAGGAAGCGGCATCACGACGTCCATCGGAAGGTTGCCCTCCCGACGGGAGCCTATCGGAAGGTCGCCCTCCCGACTGGCTTCCCGACGCCGAAACCTGTCTCCACGGATCTGGGCCGTCGCCTGCGATGTCTCCACGGTTCCAAGGTCCAGGAGAGACGGAGGTGCGATGGTGGTCCTGCTTCACCGCGCCCTGCCCTGAGCCTTGGTGCTCAGCCCGTCGCGCTCCTGAGTCTGGCAGTTCGACATTTCTCTCCGGAAAAACACCGTCCATGGCGTCGAGAAGCACCTGGATGACCGCGTTCGCGGCGAGCTTCGTCAAGCAGTCCGCGAGCATGCCAGATGTTGGACAGTGCAGAAGCTCTGCTGCTCCACGTTCGTGTTCTTCGTGAAGCCGGTGTCCACGCACGGCAAAATAACGCGTCCTCCAATTGGCGCCGCACATGGCTATGCTCAGAGCAGCCCGGTTGTCTATGAGAACCGTCACTTTGGGGATCTTGGCGCCGAGGTTAGAGAGAAGATGCCTCAGACCCTCCACTATTTGCCACCCCAGCGTCGCACTGTAGAGCTCTGCCTCTGCTGTCGATAGAGTAGAAACCGACTGTCTGGAAGAGCGCCATGCCACGATGCTGCCAGCCCATACCACGACCAATCCACTCTGAGAGCGGGTGTCAGCACCGGCGCACCCGGCATCTGTCCACACTTCCAAGCACTCTTCGTTGCCTGCCCTCGTCAAAAGGATCCCTTTGGACGCAGTGCCCTTCAGGTACCTGAGTATCTTCTGGGCGAGTTCCATACTCCAAGGCGAGAATTTTGAGCACGAAAATGCCAATAACGAGGTGTAGTATGATATGTCTGGGCGCGTTCTGGTGGCAAGCCAGTTGTATTCCCCACTATATGCTTGTAGCTGCCGGAGAGCAGGCAAAGCAGGTTCGTCTGGTTCTGCTGGCAGCGGCCCCATTTGGACGCATTTGATGGCATTACAGTTTTCCATGCCGTACTTCTTCAAAAGACTGTCCACGAAGCGTTCCTGGTGAAGCTTGATATCACCATTGTGCAGAAGAGTGATGTCAATGCCCAAGAAGGTCAGAGGCCTGGTTACCTCCAGCACGGCCTCCTTGGCGAGAGTCCACATCGATTCCATTGCGGCCAGGAGAGCAGATCTTGTAGATCCCATCTCTGTCACCAAGAGTAAATCATCGACGTAAACGACCAATGCACCCAAAACCTGTTTCGAAGTGTCTGTGGCGCCCTTGATGTACCACACTTGCGAATCAGCACTGCACTGTTCAAGGTAATGCGATTTATTGTTCCCAGAAGCCGGGCCTGTCCACCGCAAGTCGCGGAGCTTCTTGTCTCGCTCCTCTGCCCATAGCTTCGGTGACTCGCGCAAACCGTACACAGCCCTGTCCAAGGTCCAATTGATGCCGGCCTCCACGAGTCCCCAGCGCACCCACTGAGCCGGAGGGGCAACCACGACGAGCTTGTCTTTGGGCATGTACGCGTTGAGGAAGGCGCCCTTGACGTCGTGCTTGCTCACGGTCCAGCCACGCATTGCGCCGAGCTTCAGCGCAGCGAGCAACGAGGATGGTTCGGCCTGCGCGGTCCAGGACTGCAGCTTGGGGTCCGGCTCGGCGAAGTTACCGCACACGCAGGCTCGGCATTTGTACTTTTCGTCGCTCTTGGACCACACGCACGTCATCGGCAGCGGCCGCCCATGCGCGCGGAGCTCGTCAGGGGTCGTCTTGTGGAAAGCCCCCATGCCGAAGAAGTTGCCGGTCAACTCCGCCTCCGCCGCGAGCTTCCAGTTCATCAGCTCAGCCCCGACGCTCTTCGCGACCTCCTGGGTCGGCACGATCCGCTTCTCCGGCTCCTTGTCGATCAGTTGCTGCAGCGCCTCCTTGTGCAGGAGATCGACATGGCCTTCTGCCGCCTGAACAGCAGCTCCGGCGTAGTCGAAGCAGACGGGATAGTAGTGTCCTTGCTGACGTTGCCGTTTGAAGCGTCTTCGTTCCTTCTGCTTGCGCCTCCGTCGCAGCGCAGGCGCCTCAGGGCAAGGTTCGTCCACGTCTGCGTCAGCGTCACCACGTTCATCTTGAAGTGCTCCGGCATTACAATCATGGTCATCAGCGGCTTGACCCGGATGATCAGCGTGATCCACAAGAGACATATCGGGAACAACAGCTCCTCCGTGCACGGCCCACTCGTCATCGAGGTCCAACTCCGTGTCTTCATCGTCGGAAGTGCGGCCCAAAGTGTCCTCTGTGCCAGGGACTTCTGTGTCGCCAACATGCGAGAGGTCTTGTTCAGCTGAACCCCAGGTGGCCGCTTCGGATAGAGCAAGGCATGCATGGGGGTACTCCAAGAAGGCAATTCAAGGACGTTGCCCCGTACGTGCGCCGAGTCTCGCCAGAGCTTGCCGCCACCTTCGCGGCGACCGGCGGCGGCCCACCGTGATCCTCTCGAGGATGGTTCGCGGGCTCGTCGTCCGCCTCGTCGGCCGGCGGAGGTCCTTCAGCAGGTACGTCGACTACGGGCCCTTGTGCTGCTGGCGGAGGCGGCGGTGCCTTGAGACACTCCCCCCAAACCAGACTATGGGGTTCCAGTTGCCGCCTCTTGCGGCGAATTGCCACGCAAGCTGGGCAAGTTGCTGTTTCTCGCGTAGCTGCTCCGTCTGGTAAGAACGAAGGAACCACCGCCCCGGCGTCGTACTTCTCTGGCTCCGGAAGAGGCAGTGGAGCGTCAGGCGGATCCCAGTTGCTCATGTTGATCTTGACCCAATTGAGCTCTTCCTCGTTCAAACCCTGGGGCTGCAAGTTGGTCTTGACCTTCACCGCGCCTCGCTGGTACGTCCACATCCCGTTCGGGACAGTGCTGCTGGGGCCGAACACCGTTGCTGGCTCTGCGCGTGGCAGAAAGGCGTTTCTCGGAGGAGGGTCGTGCACCAACATCGCCCTGGTACCGAAAGGTATCCGAGGGTACTCTCCCAGTCCAGCGTCTGCTCTGCACAACTGAGCTGCTGCAAGTGTCGCTACTCCCCACCAGGTGGTCGGAAGTCTGCTGCCGCTCAAGAGGTCTGCTCTGCCACGCTCAAGATGCCCAAGTGTCTACTCACCAGGTGGTAGGGTCGTCAAGAGGTACCGATGTTTTGTGGACTGCCGTGGTAGGAGCAGCGGAAGTTGCTGAGCTCCTCGTTCATGAACTCGGACCCCTGGTCACTGTGCAAGCGGAACACGATCTCGGTCGGGAAGTTGGCGTGGTCATTGTTGACCTGGGCGAGCAGATGTTGCACTGCCTTCGGGGCCTCGCTCTTCGCGCCCAGAAGGGCGACGTAGATCAGAGCCGGTCGCGGCGACGTCTGCCCGGCAGTTCCGCCCGCCTGCTCCTGGCCTCCGTCTGGCCCAGAAGTCTGCGCAGCCACGTCACAAGAAGATGCTGTCTCATCTGGCCTCACTGTTAAGACCAAGAAATAATGACACGGATCTTTTGTAATCTGTCCTCCTGGCCGGGGCGTTGGCTCATGAGGGCCACTCAGGTCCACAGTACATACGCCCAGAGACACGTTCGACCGGCGATGGTGCTGTCGACGCCGTAGTGCGGCACCCTGCCATAGAGCACTGTCGGCAGAATACTTCTGATGTTGCCACGGTTTGTCCCGGAGC